CCATTCTAAACTCATGTTTTAATATGCCTGGTCGTCATAGAGAAGAACTCTACCATAGGTACATGAATTCTTTTCAATCATACAAAATCCGGGAAGAACGTATTCCCTCTTTTCAAGCAATGGTAGATATCAACTTTGAATACCTACCAACTCTCAAATCTTGGAAGTTTGATAAACTGTTTCACTTTAAACCAATTTTCTATCATCAGTTAGTCAATATTTTCTACTCTAATGCGGCATATATTCAAAACGAGAGTCAATGTGGGACTATAGGAATCATATCCTATCTCTTAGGATAATATATTCATATTGACTCCGAGACTATAGCTAAGCAACTTGGGCTAGATGACAATGGTTTATATAATGAGAAAGAAACTGTGGCATATCCCTATCTTTCTAATGCTAGTGTTAGTAACTTACGTACACATCACGATCGTTTTCTACATTTAATGATCTCTTGGTGGTTTCGACCATCCGGAGGTAGGTACTCCACTCTTCGTGTCAGGGATTTATGGTAGATGCATTGTATCCAACATAATAGAAAGATAAATTTGCCACATATTATTTTTAGTGAACTAGTAGATACCATAAATGTTGTCCCTTCTAAACATGTCAAAACTTTAGTTTATGGGTGTCTACTTAGTAATCTTTTTATCAAACTTGGCCTTAGAGTCTCTCTCGACAATCCCATCCCTCTTCAAAACCAGACCAATCTAACCTCTTTGAAAAAAGCTGATTGGAAACAAGATGAGAAACTGGTCAATGGGTCTTTCGACCCAATAAGCAAACTCCGGGAGCCAGTTCTTCACGAGTTCCTTCTGCTCCTAGTTCTTCTCGTGCTCCACCTCATCCGGCACCGGCTGCAGACGATGATCCCAAACTTCAGCAGCTCATGAAAGATATTGATGAGGAAGTACCTGACGATGATCCTCCGACACCGGAACCAGCATGGCATGAGGAACAAATGCCTCCATATTTTCGAACATTTATGGAGTCATTTGATCTGAGGTTAGTCTCCATGGAATCTCAACTGACTGAGTTTCAACGGGAGATGCGTGAACTTATAGATGCTCTCACTCTTGAAGTGTGAGCACATTATCCTCCTCTTCCCGACCCTCCGATGGAGTAGATCTTTCCTTGCTATGCTTTCTTGGCTTAAGAACTTGGATTGATAAACATTTTGTTGTTTTTGGATTGTTTTACTTTGGTTGTTGAATGTTTAAATTTGTTTGGATTTATGGTTTGGATGCTTGGATATTTTAGAACTTATTATATATTTGGTTGATGAACTTATATTGGTTTAATTAGATTTTTGCATTATTTAGACATATATGACCAACTTTTCATTGCATATCTATTTATGAATATTGATTATGAAACTAATGGTTAACCTTTCTATTGATTGTGATCTTAGCAACTTAAGCTACATTTATAAATATCAATTGAATATGTTTTAAAACTTTTTTTCTTCAAATGTTTTTATTAGAGTCTTTTTGATTTAACAAAAAGGGGGAGAATATGTCTAATAGTAAGGGGGAGTAATTTCAAATTTGATTTAAATTTGATTTTCTTAAAAATCTTAAAATTACTCAAATGTTTTGTTATATAAAAAATGGAGAGATTGTTGAAAACATTTTGATGTTTCGATATAACAAACTAAGTATAAATGAATTTTAAGATTTTACAAATGATTTTCTAAGAATATTCGATACAATTATTCGAATATCAAATTATTACTCCAAGACTTTCAAAGATCAATTTTAATCCTTACTAATGTGTAAAATTGTGTTTTATACTTCAAATATTTTTGAAACAATTTTCACAAAGAATGTGCTCTATGCATCGATGAACTCTCAGTGTACCGATGCACCCAGGCTTTTTCAAAACATAGAAGCATATTTATGCATCGATGCACTCTCAGTGTACCAATGTACTAAGTCTTCTAATGGTCGAAATATTTGAATTTTACACATAGTGTATCAATGCACTAGCCCTATGCATCGATGCATCACACGCTCCTACCTGTTTTATTAATTGTTTTCACACAATAACGACTCTATTGACTCCATTAATGATCCCTAACGTTCAGAAGTGATCCACAGAGTATTTAAACAAGCTTAGAAGCCATTGATCAAAAAAACAAGAATCAATAATTAATAGATAATCAAAGAGAAAGCATCAAACTTCAAGTTTGAGCACTTCAAGCCTATTTTTCATTCAATATTCATTTTGCTTTCAAGAACACTACTTGCACTCAATTGTATTCATTCTTGAGTGTTCTTTCTTTGTTCTAGAATTGGGCAAACACATTTGTCTTGTGAGGTTTTTCATTAAGTTTGCAAATTTGTAATATTCTCTTTGAGAAAAGAGTGTTCTCAAGAATTGGGGTATATTCTTGAGGGAGTTGTAAGGTTATCTCTTTGGCCTCAAAAGAAATAACAAATTAGTGAATTTGTTAGAAAATTCTTAGTGTGGATAGCTAAGGTAGTGGACGTAGACTTTGGTTGAGAAAGTCGAACCACTCTAAATCGTTGTGCAACTACTTTCAATTTTCTGCAAAAGCTTCCACCGAAATTTTAATTACCAATTCACCCCCTCTTGGTCGAATCCATCAATCGATTAACTTAACAAACACCCTTTGCAGAAAGGCGCCCCCCTGCAGCACGCTTTACACTGATCTGGCGCCACATGGGGAAAGGCGCGCGCCCTGAGGCGCACCTTATGGTAACATGATACACTTGGCTAAAGCGCGGCCCCTAGGGTGCGCCTTACGCCACGTAGGGCTATAGCGCAAGGCAGGGGCCGCGCCTTCCTGAAATTATGACACGCATCAAAAAGGCGCGCCCCCTGCGGCACGCCTTAGGTTTAATTACCCATCTACCACCGCCCGTTCACACCCCATCCCTCCCTATAAATACCCTCATTCACAATCACTTTCATCATACCAAATCCTTTCAACTTCTCTCAAATACTCTCTTATAAGGTATATTATATTATATTTAGTATTTTGTTAGTAATTTATTTAAATTTAAATTTTTTAATATTTTATTTAATTAATTTTTTTACATATATAAAATGGAAGACGATCTACTTTGCTTGGATGGAAATCATATATCTCGACACTTTGTTGATACGGTAACATTTTAACGTTTTAATTTAATTTAAATTATTAGTAATAATTTGTTGATTTATTTAATGCATGATTATTAGTTTAAGAATTAATTTTTGTAATTATTTATATTTTAGGAGAGAGACTGTATATTAGATCCTTTTATTAGGAACCTTAAGTTAGCGATACCTACCCGTGTCTGGCCGTATTTAGCAGAGGCTGAATTTAGTTACATAGGTAGATATGAGGGTCACTGTAAGATATAACCAGACCTTATTGATGCCTTAGTGGAGCGGTGGAGACCGGAGACCCACACATTCCATCTTCCGTGCGAAGAGTGCACGATTACATTTGAGGATATTTCTATGCACCTGGGGCTTTCGGTGGATAGAGATGTGATATCGGGGATCGCGTAGGGTTCCTGGACTACTTTGTGTCGGATAATCTAGGACGTGTCCCGGAAAGTTTTAACGGTGGTAGGATACCGTTAATTTGGTTATATGCCAATTTTTGGGAGTTGAGCGAGGACGCGTCTGATGATAAAGTTAAAATGTATACACAGACATGCATACTACAGCTGATAGGAGGGTTGCTGATGCCGGAAAAATCGCGCAACCAAGTTCACTGTATGTGGTTGCGACATCTTGTCGACTTTCGTATGGCCTGATCACTCAGTTGGGGCTCGACAGTTTTAGCTTTCTTGTACAGGGAGATGTGTCGAGCCACTGACTACAGGTGTAATGCTATCGGCGGATGTCTCCTGCTACTGCAGTCTTGGGCATGGTATCGATTGCCCTTTTTATGTCCCGTTGTGAAGAATCCATTTATATTTCCACTACTCTTGAGATAATTATAAAACTGATTTCATATATTAATCATTTTATACAGTGTATAATAAATTTTTTCCCTTGAATAGGTGGTCTACTGACAGGAAAAATCATCAGGAGCTACATGATGATTTAGAAAAAATGAGGGTGCTAATCGATCAGAAGGCTGACACACAGGTATGAATTTTAATGTTTAAAAATTAATTTTAGATTATAGTTATATAATTAGATTATTATTTTGATAAAAATTATACATATTTGTTTTAGTTTGAATGAGTGTCATATTCTATTGATGATGTGAGGATAGTGATCTCACCTGAGTTGAGAGGCCCATCAAATATGAGAATATTGTCGGATTGTTGTATTAATTTTTTTTCTGTTGAGAGGAGATGTGAGGAGATACCGGGGGAAGATTATTTATAGCCGAGAAAAGGAACAATAATTATACAAGGCACGGTATCTACATCGCGCCTTACATAATTATATCAGTTAAAGCTAAGGCGCGTCTCCTGTGCCGCGCCTAATATAATTGTGTTAGAATTAAAGGTAAGGCGTGACCCCTGCCTCGCGCTATAGCCTTACATGGCGTAAGGCGCGCCCCAGGGGCCACGTTTTAACCAAGTGTATTTATGTCGACATAAGACGCTTCACAGGGGCGCACATTTTCCCACGTTGCTCCAGATCAGTGTAAAACGTATTTTAAAGACACGTCTTTCTACCAAAGGTGTTAAATTAAAAAATATAATTTAAATTATGCATGATCAGAAATATTATAGGGTATGAGTGATTTTTCGGAAAAACCGACCAATTCTCCAGCTTTTGACAAAATTTATCTGACCCTATGGAACAATACACGTTCAATTCTCGGGTGATGGTGCTCTTTGAACAAACGTCACTGGGAGCTTTTCAACTACCAAATAAACCCCATTCTTATCCATAGATAAATGAAGTGTTTTTTCTTCTTCATAATTCCGAGTGCATGAATCGCAGAAAACAAGATAAATAAATAAATAAATAAAGTTCCATACTTTACATACGCGTGTCTATTATATATATAAACAACGAGCAGCATTGGTGGCGGCTGGCCAGCCTTAATTTGACCTCGGCCTTTATTCCTTTGAATTACTCCACCGTGTGATTGCTTGCAGCACCGCCAATTATTATCATGAAACGCTACATCTCTAGAATTACCAACTGGCCTTCGCCTTCCGCCTCTCGTGGCTTCAATTTCACCTGGGTATCTTCTTCTTCTTCTTCAATGTTCTTTCAGTTCTTTCCTTTTGAAAAAACGTGTTTTTGGTTCTTTCTGTGTGTTTTTTTTGTGGGAAAACCCCCCATTTCTATCGTTGTTTGATTTGACAAATGGATGTCTAAATCAGATGTTATTATAGCAAAACTGGTTTTTTTTGTCTTAGTGAATTGTAATCTGAGACTGGGTTTAAATTTGTTCAGGTGGATAAGAGGTATAGGAATTTTGGTTCAAAGACGGCGGAGGATCTGATTAATGGAGAAGAAGTCAATGATAAAGAGAAAGGGAATCAAGTTTCCGATATGTTGATTGATAGCTTCGGAAGGAAGCACACTTACTTGAGAATCTCCTTGACGGAGCGTTGCAACCTCCGGTGTCAGTACTGTATGCCGGCGGAAGGGGTGGAGCTAACGCCGTCTCCGCAATTACTCACCCACCGCGAGATCATTCGTTTGGCCAATCTTTTTGTCGCTTCCGGTGTCGAGAAGATTCGGCTCACCGGCGGTGAGCCGACCGTCCGGAAGGATATTCGGGATATTTGCTTGGATTTGTCGAGCTTGAAAGGGCTTAAGACTTTGGCAATCACCACTAATGGAATTACTCTTGCTAGGAAGCTTCCATTGTTGAAACAATGTGGGGTTACCAATCTGAATATCAGCTTAGACACACTCGTTCCTTCGAAATTCGAGTTTATGACTCGGCGTAAAGGACATCACAAGGTTATTGAATCCGTTAATTCGGCCATCGATCTTGGTTACAACCCTGTGAAAGTATGTTTTTATACTTGGATCATGCACTATCTTGTTTTTATGTTACTGTGTTTTAACTTTTAAGTGTGTCTGGGTCTGTTTCTGCTTGCTTTCAGGTCAATTGTGTCGTCATGCGTGGATTTAACGATGATGAGATGTGCGATTTTGTCGAACTCACTCGTGAGAAACCGATTAACGTTCGATTCATCGAGTTCATGCCTTTCGATGGAAATGTATGGAATGTCAAGAAACTCGTGCCGTATGTAGAGATGTTGGATACTGTGGTAAGGTACAGCTCTTATGGCTGATCTTGCTTTTGCACATTTGTTTATGCTTGTTTCTAAACTTCCACAACTAACTAATTTCTTGTTCTCTGTTATTGGACAGATGATAAAGTTTCCGGCCCTCAAGAGGTTGCATGATCATCCAACTGAGACTGCGAAGAATTTCCGGATTGATGGCCACGCTGGCACTGTATCTTTCGTGACATCGATGACTGAGCATTTTTGTGCCGGTTGTAATAGATTGAGACTTTTAGCTGATGGCAACTTAAAAGTATGCCTCTTTGGTCCTTCAGAGGTGAGCCTATGGCCTTTAAACGTGTTTTAGACCCTCCCGAGTTGATTATTGATATGTTATTCATCGGTATCCGTTCTGCATTTGATATTTCTTTCGATATCTTCCTTGTGTTGATTTCTCTCAGGTTAGCTTAAGAGATCCTCTTCGATCCGGTGCTGGTGACAACGAACTTAGAGAAATAATCAGAGCAGCGGTATGGTTTCTGCTTAAGAACACTTTATTACTTGATGAAATTGTGTTTCAAACTTGTTACCATGCAACGAAAAGCCCTGCTTATTTTACTCGTTTTCATGTTTTTTTTATGGATTTTTTGTTATCGTGCTCATTCTTTCTCTGTTTTCTTCGAAACCGGTGTGGTTAATGAGTTATATGGCTAGTCGATTAATCATGGTAGATCGATTCATGCTCAAAGTTAGGGGAGAAATCGGTCGAGTCTTCTTTCCTTTTCGTGTACCTCATGCATATGCATTTTCTTCTTTGGATCAGGTTAAGAGGAAGAAAGCTGCACATGCTGGGATGTTTGACATTGCAAAGACAGCGAATAGACCGATGATACACATTGGTGGCTAAGGTACTTAACATCCTTATATAATGTTTTAAGAAATCTTGTAGCTCGGTTTCTTGTTTGTCGATCTCGTTTTCCGTTCTTGCCCATTGAGGTTGAACAATTATAGTACTTTTTAAAACTTAGATTTTTTTCCTGTTTAGAACTCTGCTTCGCGTGTATGGCTCGGAGTAGCATAGGACCATTATAAATTTGTTCATCGTTATAAGTTCTCGATCGGTTCATGTTGAACATTATCTTTTTTGAGCAGTTTCTGTCTAGTTTTTACATTGGTCAAACATTTGAAGAGTCTCATTATTCTTATCCCCAAAATTTCATCATATTCAAGCAGCTGCTCAAGCAGTTTCTGTCTAGTTTTTACATAGGATGAACACTCAAAGAATCCCATTATGCTTATCATCCAAAATTTCATCGAACTCCGGCCCCTTATATCGGCAACGATCTGAGATATCAGAACCCCTGTACTTCATTCGACTCTTTTGAAGTGTTGAAACTCTTAAATCAGGGTAGCTTGTGGATTCATTTGCTTCAATATCCCTTACTTTCTTCATCTAAACCACGTCCGTCCTTTCGAATGGTAAATTTGATATCAAGGATAACGTGCATAAAATGTCACATTTAGTAGGGTTTTTATCCAAGGCACATTTTCATCTTAGTTTTCCTCCTATTGTACAATGTCGATGCGAACGTAAATGGCTGCAAAGGTGGTTTGATCGAAGCCCTCTATGTTACCTAGACCCAGAATGAGTGTCCGATATATGTTTGATACCAACTTGCTCGAGTTTTTCTGTTTATTCGGAGAATGATGCCCTATATTGATAACTGAATGTGCCCGGTGTTTACATTGCAGGCATGAATGTAAAGAACATCCTACAGAACCGAAAACGGAGATGAATCTGGTAATTTTCACATACTGTTCTTCTTGCTTGACAGTATACATCTGGTAAAAGCATGAAGTAGTTGAATTCCCGACGAAGTAGTTGAATTCCCGATGAAAAACGGAAAGTTTTGTTGTAACTTACTTGTATTTATAATAAGGTCGACCCGATTTAGCATTCGAGATCGACACAGCTTTTGACCTCAGAAGCTGTATTTTTATCGCAGTCTCGATGCTAGATGGGTATGTGATGCATTACAGCTGAAGCTCAAACTATTTGTTGTTGACTACCTGATTTGGTTTCGATACTCGACTTCGACACGATTATTATAGAGCTTGAGCAGCTTGAAATATAAAACAAAACATATATATGATTGATGGAAGATATTAGCAACATTTTATATTAAAAAGAAGCCCTTACATTAGATCGATCCAAATCTAAAATCCCTACCTCGCCTGGTTTAACCATAAAAAGCGAGCAAACCGGAACACCATCCGATTTGGTTTCGATACTCGATTTCAAACTGATTATTGTAGAGCTTATGGAGGTGAAAAAGATTGATGATATTAACCCTAGAACTTGAGAACTTTCGAATCTATAACGTCCTTTTTTTTAATTTATGTTTTTATCATAATATAATACTACATTATCATTAAAAAAATATTACATTAGTAGTTCTGTTAATTTTTTAACAGCGGTAACCAAAATGAAATCAAAATGCGATGTTAGGTATGATTTTGAAAAGAAAATAATTGGGTGACCAAAACTAAATTACGTGAATAGTTAGATGACTAAATATGTAGTTTACCCTAACTTTTATTTTTAAGATAATGCTAAATATGTCACAATGTTTCAATTTAGAAATATGTAAAATTAAATTAACTTTGGCTGAATTTAGTAAAAATAATGTAATAAATATAAGAGTAAAGTACACAAATGGTTCCTTGATTGTAGGATAATGTTTTACTGAGTCCTTTGATAATTAACAATTTTTAATAGTCAAGGGACCATTTGTGTACTTTACCCTAAGTATAAAAAGGAAGTCTTAAAATAGGCAATAAATTGAGCAAAAATATAGTAAGCAATGTCCTTTCCTAAATCAACTTGGATATCGTAAAAGAGCGTTAACCGCATTACGTCCTTAAACTGTAACTCAAATTCTAAATTGATCCTCAACTTCACATAATTTGAATTAATTGAAATTTTTTTAAAATAGGTTAATTTCACAGGCATCCCTAATCTAAGACCAACAAAATAAATTGATATTTGACTAATCAAAAGATATAATTGATGTGATATTAATAGTTTATGGACTTAATTATAACATTTTGAATTTCCGAGATCAATTTAAAATCTAGACCAACAAAAAAAACCCTTCAATTTACTACATTAGAGGGCTATTGATATGTCCATGCCAATATGAACTGAGTCCACCCCAGCTTTCTCTTCCAAGGTCATGATCAGCTATGTTATAACTCCCATGGTCACCACTGAGTTGCCACGGGAAACCCCATAACACGGATCGATCTTCACTTTGTTTCATCATCGTCGAGACCGTTGCATCCGATGTCGTAATCGCAGTATTGTTGATAATGTCTTCATTGCCATCGTCGCTGTTGTTATACGGTAACATCGTCATCATGTCACCACTAACACCGGCGACGATACCGCCGCAATTGTCGACCTCCCCCGGGATCGCGTATCTATAAAAGCCCTGAAAATCATTTCGGTCCCCGACGTAGGTGAGGCCACTAGGGTTCCCGAGCATGGAAAGCTCATTAGCATCGAATCCTAAAGTAACATTGGCTTGCTTCTCGAGCCTAGCGAAGGCTAAGCCGAGGTCGTTTGTGTCGTAACTCAAAGGTAGGAGGGCGGCGTTGTTGTGTGTTAGTGGTTGATCTTGGGTCCTCTTTGACGACGACGATGATGTCGATCTTCGATTTTTCCGACAGCCTCCGCCGACAGGGACGTTCCTCAGTGTGCCACCTTTGGTCCAATATCTCCGGCATGACTTGCAGAAATACCTCGGCTGAGACAGGCTGTAGTTGTTGTAATAACAGAACTTCGTGTTGGTCGAATCACATCGCGGACACTTGAGAGCCTGGTCCGGCTGCGGCCTTGGTTTCCTCTCTTGTTGTTCGTTTCCGTTTTGGGTAACCGCCATGTCCACCGCCGGAGGGTTCGTCATCGCCTGAAAATTCTGGTATCGATAGCACCATGATAAGTATCAGAATTCGAGTCTCGCCGGTAATTCAAAGACTACTAATCAAATTTAAAACTCAAATCAGAATAACCATAACACAACACACATATATACTATGATCATATATGTACCTGATATTGTCTGCTGGAAGGATCCATCCATGCAACAAAAAAGAACCCAACACACTGCTGCAAGAATTCCAACTTGTCCTCTTTTTTTTTTCTTTTACAAGAACAAAGCTCTAGCAGATGAAGAAGAAGAAGAAAAGAGGAGTGGAGAAAATAAGGGCACTCCCCCATTATATATATATGAGAGAGAATTGGGGGTGGGGATATATATTATAATATGAGTTAACTGCATATTATGTCCTTAAAGTATGCCACTCATTTTAAATTGGTCCCTAAACTTTAAAATGTTTTAATTTCATCCCTAAACTATGACTATCATTATAAACTAGTCCTCAAACGTTTGAACATTTCAATTTCATCTCCAAACTATGACTTTCATTCTAAATTAGTCCTAAAACATTTTGAACATTCCAATTTCATCCCAAACTATACGTATATACTAATCACTTCTAAGTTGTTTATAAAATTGTTAGGCCAAGCTATATTATTATATGTTTTAAAAAAATTAGGTTAAATTACGGTTGAAAATAATTACATATTTAAATGTATTTAGGGATGAAATTAGAATTTTCAAAAGTTTGGGGGACTAATTTAGATAGAGTCATAGTTTAGGGATGAATTTAGAATATTCAAAAGTTTAAAGATTGATTTAAAATGAGAGTTATAGTTTAAGAATGAAAATAGAATACTGAAAAGTTTAATGATCAATTTTAAAAATAAGAATTATGGTTTGGTGATATACAATTAGCTCTTATAGTATATATGTGTATGTATGCATGGGTAAATTATAAATTCATAATTTAACTTTCTTTTTACTCTTATTTTGATTTTAAAGTTTAAAATTTTTAATTTAACTATTAAACTTTCGATTTATTCATATTTGATCACTCAAGTATTAAATTATAAATAAAAAGGTGACATGGCAGTCATGTGTGCTGATGAGAAATTGTTTTCTATTGACATGGAATACATAAATCATCCACATCACTTTCCCTTTTTTATCTCTTTTTTTATTTCATCTTCTTTCTCCAAAGATTAAATTTTTATAATTTTATCCTTGTATCACATCGACACTATAATTACATTATCTAACATCTTCTTTGACTATTTAAGATACATATGAACTTTCATCATCGTCTCCTATCAATCAATCAATTTAATTTTTTTCAAAATCACTTTAAAACTCACGAAACTCAACTTAGATCTAAAAGTCATAAAACCTTAAATCACTATAATCTAAAATACCCATCATTCAATCTATGTGAATTTAAGACATATAGCTCGCTTCCTCCTTTCTCCATCTCCTTGCTGTTGAGATTTGAAAGAAGATAGATCAAAAGTTTAGTGAATAAATTTAAAATATTTAAGCTTATTGACCAAAACAGAATAAAAAGAAAATTGAGTGATGAAATTATAATTTTCCCTATACATATATATGATTATGATTGGCTTGCACGCAGAGAAAGCTTTCATAACTTACTCATCTGCAAAAGGAGGGAAAGACAAGCTTAGCTTAGCTTTAGTTACGGCAGGTTGTTTCTTTGTGGTGTTTGTGTGGCCCGCCCTTTATATGGGGTTGGATGCAACTATGCACTGTGGGGTCCGCCGTAGGAGGAGGAGGAGGATGGAGGGGGGACCCACATGTCCACCACCCATCGCCACCGTACGTCAGCCATAACCAGGCTGATGGGGTCCACCGGGGAATGCATGCAGCACGGACAGGGAGGATCAAATCCATCCATCCACCTCCGAGGTCCACTAACTCTAAAAAAAGAAAAAAAAAACATGAAAACGGTAAGCGTAAACCTCGTGTTCCCAAAACATCACGACAAACAACCCAACACATTGTTCTTCTCCTTTGGGTAACAATACCATTTGTCTTTGTATTATAGATAATAGCAAGGATTTAAATAACATTATGTTGTTGAAACAACGGCAGTATATAACGATAATGGTATCTTCGAATTAGTAATTAAATGATCATGATACTCACAATGATCGCAATAACACTTCTATATCTGTGATTGTAATAAACTTAACACAATCAAAAATGAAATTACAACCTTAATTTAAATCTATGGTTTGGAGTATATAAAGTAGATTACACCTTTTTAAAGATATATATATATATATATATATATAATTTGTATGTTTACATTTTTAATATAAAATTATGTATATGTCTTTTGAATTTCAAAACAGATAAAAAATGTTATTAAAATTTATTAAATTATTATAAAATATCATTAAATCTATAGAAACTATTATATAATAGTCCTTAAATTTATCGAAATATATTATTATTTATAACATAATTAGGATCATTTTGTAATATTTCGATAAACGTAAATATAAAAATATGTGTACCGAAAGAGTTGGACTAACAAATATGAGATGATATTAAGCAAAAAATTTTAAATTATGTTGTAACAATGTATAAATGATTTTTATACATTACTCAGATTACAGATATTTTTCGTCCTCAATAATTGGTTAAAAGATATTTAACGTTGAAACATATTCCATTTCATAGTTTCTTATATGTTACATTGATATAACCTTTTTCATATTTCGACCTATAACGTCATATATATATAAACATATTCAAGATTTGGACTGATTATCCATATTCGGTCAAACTTGTATAAAAATTTAAATTTGAATCAATTTGATCTAAATTATAATATTATAATCAATTAATATAAAAATATATTGATGTTTTTAATAAAAAAATAAATTAATTTAGAGTTTGGAAATTCAGAAAATAGTATCGACCATGACTTGTTTTGACAATGGGATAGGGACATAAAAGTACACTGACTGTGGACAATGATGGTAGATATTTCATCATCTTCAAATGCATGTTTCACATTCACATTGTAATAAATATTAAATTAAACCCACCCTTTATATCAAAATCAATTACGATACAAATAAATACATTCATCGACAAAGGTGACATGTGATAGGATTTTAAAATTTAGGAACTCGCATTTTAGAAAAATATCATAATTCTACTTCTAAAAGCATTCTAAGAATAATACTTTTAAATAAAATGCCGCAATTATAGAGTTGTTTTGTAACATTGTCTTAGTTTCGTATGTTGGGAAGTTATTCATTTTATTTTATTTTATTTTATAAGAAACAATCGTAATATGATAAATTTTGGTATTTTATAATTTCGTTTTAATATAAAATATTGGGTAAATTATGTTCTTGATACCTTAATTGACAGTTTTGACCTGTTTTAGTACCTAAATTTTTAATTTATTCAAAATCATACCTAAAGTTTAGTTTTTGTTTCATTTTAGTACCACTGTTCAAAATTTAACGTTAAGTTTTGACAAATGTTGAAAGTTTAGGTATTAAAACGGACAAAACTTATAATTTAGATATTAAATGAGTAGTTTATCCTAAAATATTTTAAAATCTCATTTTAAAAAATAGCAAAATGCGTGCGCATCTTTTCGGTCAGCCTGGATATGAAAATATGAATTAAACTTTATGAAAATATGAATTAAACTTTATATATTATTAGAACTATAAAAGGTTTAATAATGTTTTCGGCCCATAACTTTATAAGAAAAGTTATTTTAGCTCCTAATTTTTTTTTTGTCTCATTTACTTCTTGAACTTCTTTTTTGTTCAAATGGAACATATTGACGACAAAGATAATGATCTATTATAGGAGTTAACAAGGGGGTTTGGCCCCTACAATAGTAAAATTACATGTAAATTCTTCTAAAAACAATGAAATTATAAATTAATACATGATAAATTTATATTCTAATATTTTAAAATAAATTAATACAACTTTATCTTCATAAAATTATACGTTAAAGTTTGATACGAATATGATTTGATTTAGACTAATAAAGATACAAAATTAATAGAAGCTTCCAAAAATAGGAAACTTAATTTGATTGAAAGTATACGTATATTATATTTTTTTATTTATTGAAAGTAATAAACGGAGTTCAGATAATATTTTTACTATATAAGTTTCTTTTATAATCAAGTAATTATTTTTTATAAATAAATATTAGAGATTAGAGTTGAATATCAAGTTGTTTATAAAGTTTCTTTTTTTATTTTTTTATTTTCGATATTAGTAAAAATTATTCTCTTCAACCGTATTATTCATGAAAAAAAGTCATATAAAATCTTAAATTTTTTTATTATATAATTATTGTGTATGTAATTATCTTCTTGCTATTAATATGCACTAATATAGTGATGACCAAGGCATAAAAAAGGTGTATTATAATGATTAAAAGATGAATTTTATATCCTAAAAGAAATCCATAACAAAAGAAGTGAAGCTTGTGATCCACATGCAATCCACTGAAAATTATAATGATTCAGTCAATCCAACAAATTAAAATTAAATTATAATTTAATCCTTATTGTTGTTATTCATGGACCAAGATTTTTGGACCGGCGAGAAAATCAAATCAATGTTACCAACCAAAGGTGTAACATGTCATGTATTATACGTCAGAAGCCATAAAAAATATTAAACAAACAATGATCGGCGATGATCCCTCTTTTCTCATCATATCCTTTGTGGATCCTATGAAAAAAATCCCATCATATAATATTACAAAAAATAAAGTAAAAACTATGAGAATGTAGAATGTGTGTCTATATATATATATATATATATGGGTTATGATTCATTTACACCGTGTAAAACTCTTTTAACTTTACACCTTTTTAGAATTATTGCATTGAAAAAATCAAAGCACGAGATTAACGCATTATCTTTTTCCAGTGAATATATTCTCATTTTCTACTTTTAATCTCGGCCTTTAATTTCTTTCATCCAATAGTACTAAAAAAGTTTTACACAGTGTAATTTGATATTGCCCCTATAAATATTATAAGGTAAATTACGTGTTTAATACTTAAATTATTAGTTTTGATTCGTTTTAATACATAAACTTTCATTTTTATAAAACCATACCTAAAATTTAGTTTTTGTTTCGTTTTAGTATCCTTTTCAAAATTTAATATTAACTTTTGAAAATTTTGAAAGTTTAAGCACTAAAACATGCCAAAACTGAAAGGTTAGGTACTAAACGTGCAAGTTTTTAACTGTGGGTACTAAAATAAAACAAAAATTAAATGA